GAACTCGAACGCCTTCAACGGTTGGGAGTCATCACGCCTGTGGAATACTCTGATTCAGCCGCACCAATAGTAGTCGTCAAGAAAAAGGACGGGAAAATTCGCATTTGCGCGGATTACTCCACAGGACTCAACGACAGTTTGCAGCCAAACAAGCATCCGCTACCAACGCCCGATCAGATCTTTGCAAAAATCGCCGGTAAGAAAGTGTTCAGCTCAATCGACATGTCGGATGCATTCTTCCAAGTTGAGCTGGATGAAGAAGCAAAAAAGCTCATGACAATCAATACACACTGTGGATTATTCAAAGTCAACCGACTACAGCAGGGTGTCAAGACTGCTCCAGGCATCTTCCAGCAAATCATCGACACTATGCTCAGCGGAATTTGCACTTTCGGCTTCATCGACGACATGATCACCGCAGGCGATGACGAAGAGGACCACAAAAAGCAGCTGTTCAAGACATTAGAGCGCCTACAAGATTACGGCTTCAAACTTCGACTCGATAAATGCAAGTTTGGTAAACTATCAGTCAACTTTTGCGGCCATACAATCGACAGCCAAAACATCCGTCCTCATCCCGGCAAACTCAACACGATTCAAGAACTCCCGACACCGTCCAACGTACAACAGACACGAGCACTCCTAGGAGCGGTCAGTTATTACGGCAAATTCATCAGAGGTTTAAAAGAGCTCCGACAACCGCTGCATGAATTGCTAAAGAAGGATGCCAAGTTTATATGGAAGGCTGAGCACGACAAAGCATTCAACAAAATCAAAGAAGTTTTAGCTTCTGATCTTTGCCTCACTCACTTCGATCCAGCTAAGAAGATCGTACTGGCCACCGATGCATCCGACTACGGTATGGGCGCAGTATTGATGCATGAGTTTCCTGATGCAACGCTTCACCCGATCATGCATTTCTCAGCTACATTCAATGCAGCCGAACGAAACTACCCGCAAATGCATAAAGAAGCACGAGCCCTTGTGTTCGGCCTGAAGAAATCGCATTATTACATCGCTGGACGAAGATTCAAAATCCAAATCGATCACAAACCGCTCTTGGCAATCTTCAATCCAAAAACGGGAATTCCGTTATACACTGCGGCACGACTTCAACGCTATGCTTTAACTGTCCTTGCATATGACTTCGACATCGAATATGTGAACACGGACAGCTTCGGATATGCAGATGTTATCTCGAGACTCATGGCAAACCACACAAAGCCTGATGAAGAGACAGTGATTGCACCGATTCAACTCGTGGAGAAGGAAAATGAAGACAGCGATATTCAGTGTTTCGCCATCGAGACAGCTTGTAAACTCCCAATCATCTTTAGCGACATCCAAGCAGCAACAAAGTCGTGCCCTACGCTCTCTAAGGTGGCCCTCTACGTAGAAACCGACAACTGGCCCCAGAAGGAAAGCCAAATCAAAGACGAGAAGACGCAGAAATTTTTCCAATTTCGTAACCAGCTCATTGCCACCCAGGGATGCATCTTTTACGGTGAGCGGATCGTCATCCCAGAAACGTTCCGAAAACAGATCCTTAAAGATCTCCATCATGGCCATCCGGGCGAGTGTCGCATGAAACTTCTCGCAGCTAGCAAAGTCTTTTGGCCGAACATCAATAAAGACATCGAACAAATCGTCAGAACCTGTGAAAAGTGCGCTGCGACTGCCAAAACACCGAGGAAATGTACACTTCAACCCTGGACCGTCCCGTCATCACCATGGTCACGTCTTCACATCGATTACGCAGGTCCAGTTGAAGGTCACTACTACCTGGTCATAGTTGATGCATTTAGCAAATGGCCGGAAATCCATCAAACGAACAGCACTACATCAGCCAAAACCATCGAACTGCTCGAAAAAAGTTTCACCCAACACGGATGGTGCGACACCATCATCAGTGACAATGGCCCACAGTTCGTCTCCGAACAATTCGAGAACTATTGTAAATCCAAAGGAATCAAGCACATCACCACAGCTCCTTATAGCCCACAGTCGAACGGCCAAGCAGAGCGCTTCGTGGACTTACTAAAAACGGGCCTCAAGAAAGCGACAGGTAGCATCGATCAAAAACTTCGCGAGTTTTTGTTTTACTATCGCTCCACTCCATCGTACGCGCTTGGTTCAAAATCTCCTTCGGAATTGCTCAATAACCGGGCCATGAAAACGAAACTGGACTGTTTGAAACCAAAGAGCTCCAGTTCACAGCAACAAAACAACAACATGAAACAGCAATTCGACCATCACCATGGAGCCAAGTGGAAGAACTTCCAAGTCGGAGATCAAGTATACTTCCAGCTCCACACGACAAACAAC